TGTTAATTTAACCATTCTAGTCGAATATAAGAAAAACCAGTGAAACTGGACTTAAGTCACTCTTGGCCATAGTTAATTGTAGGCAACTCTGTAGCTAAAAACATGTAACCATTATATGTTTTCAGTTGAACCATAAGTGAATTGTACTGTAACTAGAAACAAATCTAAGTGAAATCAAGTGAAATTGAAGTCAAGATAGTTTTGTTGTTGTTGTTTTTTGTTTTTTTTTAAGCTATTTGATAATTGGAGTGAAAGGGCAAAGAAACACAATGAAAATCCAGACTCAAACTTACAAACACAAATATTGTAAGGAACTTTTAAGTTTATTTTGAAGAAAAATTTAAACCAGCTAAATGGTTTATGGCTTTTTTGTTTTTTTAAGAAAAGATATGTGAGTATACTGTTTGGAGGACAAAGGGGAAAAACACTGCCTGTATTTATCGGTTTTGTGGTTTAAAGAAACCCTCAACTAAAACAGGTCACATATTAAAACTCAATGTAATTTCATAGACTAGGTAGAGATCTCCAATAGCACCTGCTTCCGTTTTTTGGTTTATATGAGCCGTCACACATTGTGGAAGGTGAAAGTGAGACCTTGCCCTTTGGCAGCTGAGATCACCCGCAGGCTGGATGCACGCAGGCTGGGTGGAGCGGCATTCATCACCTGGCCTCAGGAAGCTGCTAGTGATCTTAGTGGTATTATCCCAACCTGGCTCCACCTGTCCCAGAACTGACCCCACAGACTAAGGTTGACTCTCCACTCCCTAGTCACCCTCACAGGAGACTGAAGTATATTAACCAGAGGCCAGTATTGATTTTCAAGGGGGTATATTTCTTTCCAATGACCAGAATGCTTAGATGACTTATTCAGGGCACATTCTTACTGATTTTGGAATAATTGGGAATCTGGAAGTATAATCTGGAAGTTGCTTGGTGAATATGGGATCTGACAAAAAGGAGTATGGTTATTTTTTTGTTTGTTATTATTTGGAAGATATTTTAAACTAGTTTATTTTTATAAGTTGAATATGAAATCTATATTTCACATGGAAAAAACTGGAACAATTCTATTAGTTATCTATTATTGCATATTACCCCAAAATTTGACAGATTAAAATAACCCACACTTAAAAAAATCTCATAACTTCTGTGAGCAGGAATCTGGATACAGCTTAACTGTGTCCTCTGATTCACAAGGCTGCAATCACAGGGTTAGGGTCAGGGTCTCATCTGAAGGTTCAGTGGAGGTAGCATCTGCTTCCAGGATCATGTGGTTGTTGTTGGAATTCATTTCCTTAGGGGGCCGAGGTTTGAGGGGCATTATTATTTACTTTTTATCATTAACCCTATACCTTCTTTTCCTGTGGTATCGGCAAGCATGGTGTTCATTCCACTGAAGTGGGAAAATCCAGAACTCAGTGTGGGCTTTTGGCCTGCTGGTTCTGGGTTATCCAAGGCTACTTAGTGGAGGCACAGGAGTCGTCATTTCTAGCCTGCTGACTTGACCAGGTTCGGGGCTCTAAAGTGCTTGTCAGGCACTGTTTGCCTCTCAGGAAAGGGGCACTGAGGCATGGCAGGATTGAATTGGGTTCTGTTGGATCTCAGGAGATTTTTCCTGCTCAAATACTTATCTAACTGCAGAGTCAAAATGGCCTGTAAGCCAAAGCTGACTGTCCAACTGCAGCCCAACCCCCAGCCCGGGAGTGTTGGGAGCACTGTGTCACAAAGCAATACGTAAGTTAGTTGTACCCACTCTGACCCCAAGGCTTGCTTTAAGAATTCAGCTGATCTGCCTCCCGGTCATTTCTAGAGTTCACCTGGGTAGTTCTCTGCAACCCATAACCGTTTCTGAGTCACGACCACCATCTGTCTTGTAAAGTAATCTGAATTTGACATGCATGCCTCCAAACTTCTTAGAGACTTACAAAGAGTCCTTCCAGCTCCATGTGTCCTCCAGTCAGATACGTGGGGCCTCAAATGTGGCTGCTCAGGTCAGGGCCATGCTGGCCTACACTAGGCCTTTACAGTGGTCGGCTGGAAACCAACTCTCTGGCAGGGGAGGGAAATCCCTGATTTGTAGCATTTACTGATTTCTGTGGTGTCAGTACTCCCATCACTGCTGATTAAAAGCTACCAATCTGATGTCACTCAGCATGGAGTTGGGATAGATGCACATGACTGGCTTTCCTCTGGGGCCAGCAATACACCAGCTGCAGCACACTGTCGTTTTGCGCGTTTTATGAAAGGCACCCTCCAGGTAGAGGGATTAAGAAAGGCTCCTCTCCGGGCAGACCTGCACCACACGTGTGCCCTGGTGAGCAGTGGCAGGCACCCTTTCCTCCTCACGTGGCTTGTTGAAAGGAACGTGAGGTCGATTTTAGGCCTCCTCAACTGGGTGCCTTTGTGCAATGCACATTCAGCACAACCTCACACAGCAGTCCCGCTTCGATTCATGATACTGTGTAATTAAGTAAAATGGATGGAATAAGGGAAAAGTGAGCCAGGTTACCTAGCAGAGCCTGAAAGCCTGCTTTATACATATGGTAGGACTACTGCCAGGTGGAACAGTAACTTCTTAAAATTGATCTAGTTAATAGAAGGCTATCATTGCTAAGAAGAGCCCCCAGCTATACACCATTCCAGGGACAGCCATAATGATATAGCGAAAAAGGCTTCAGAAACATGAGGCCTGCAACACTACATGTTTAGATTCCAGACCATTAAATATATTTATCGTTAGTGATTTAAATCTTAATAGTCAAACCCAGGCACACATGAATATTTAAAATTTAATGTAATTCTTTACTACTTAAGAAGCAGTTTCTCATAACTCTATTTAGCCTACCAATTACTCTGGAAAGTTATCCTCCCACTTTTTTACAGATGAGGAAATAAGCCGAGAGAGTACATAATTCAAGGTTACACAAAAAATGGATTCAAGACCAGTTCATACTCTTTTTACTATGCTTATACAGACATACTTCAGTATTGTGAAACAGACAACTTGAAATGGCTCCGGTGAAGATATTTTATTTTTCATAAAAATATAATTGTACAATGCTCTTCAGAGAAAGAAAAATTCCTTCAATGCCCCCAAATACCATGTGATTTAGTAGTAATCTTCCTCTCTTTTAAAACTAAAAATGTAATTGATAATATGCAACTGATTTCTTGTGAAACATCGCATTTACGTTTTTAAATTTTATTTGCTTTTAACTAAGTCCAGTTTAAACCTATACTTTTTGGAACAACCCAAATCAAGCCTATCAATTCAAAGATGATAAAATAAAATGCTAAATGGTAATGCTGATAAATACTGTCAGTTAGCTGGTAAACAGTGATGTGAATTTGCTGCAGCATGAAAGATCCTGATTTAGATATTTAGATAAAATAGATTTTAGATAAAAAAGATTTTAGATAAAATAGAAAAAAATTTAAGAACTTCAACTATATCCTAAAATGTGATCTAGTCAAACTTATTCCATATTATACTCAGTTGCTCTAATATACAACGGATCTATGCTAAATTAACAACAGAATATGACTGGTCTAAATACGTAAATTTATTTTCCCCCTTACCTTCCTTTCTTTGGGCAAAGGAAAAAGGAAATATTACTCTGTGTACTCAGAGAGCAAGGAGAACAACAGAAGAGATGAAGGGGGACTGAGGTCACTGACTCTTCCACCCGCTTCTGTTTTCTCTCAGCCTGTATGTTGTCCTTATAGGTGAGTGAGAGATGCTAGGATTTCAGCATGCTGCTCCTTAACTGGAATGGGGCAAGAAATGCTCCAGCTGTTTTAATCAGTGACGTTTATAAACATGCTTCAAGTGGCCAAAGCGTGCAACCAGCACAATACCCAAAGCAATCAGAACATTCCTTTTTAAGACCAAGAATTTTTCTCTCGGTTTTATCTACTCCAAAATACCAAATAGATAGGTTTAGGATTAAACTGAAATAAACTGTAATTTACTTTCACCCAAAATTACACATCGGCTACCTGAGGACAAAGTCACTGCTCTTGTAAAGATACTGACGGGAAGGGGAGTAGCTCAAATGAGCCTATAATTTAAAATCACAACCAGAGGAGAAACACTTCAAGCACAATGGGGACATTCCATTGAAGAGCCACATTCATTTGGAATGTTTGTTTTGAAAACAACTCTTCTGGGGGAATTCAAAAGGTACTGAACAAAGCAACGTAGAGTAAGTCTTGGGCTGTTTTGCAAAATAAAAATATACATTTGAGTAGACCAGATGGCAAAAACATACCCATTACAATCTGAACACTATATTTAAAAAACTTAAATTCTGAAGGCCTGAATATTAACAATCTTTAATCTATCTATATTTGTGATCCTAAAAAGACATTAAATACTCTTAAACCCCCAGTCCTCCAAAACACAGAGAGGCCCAACAGACTGGGCTAGTGGTATATCGGTTGTCACACAGTACTAGACTAGAGATCTGAGTCTGCGACCTAAGCACAAGAGATCTTCAGGAACTCAGGCTAAGGGGAAGCACTTAATTCAAATGCATGGCCTCAGAGAAGGAGGGAGGTACTTCATCAGCTGAAACTATGTGGTCCATCTCATGTTCCCCCTCACAGACAAGCTAGACTATGATGCCTCCTCTTAAACTACCTTGTAACAAAACACATATTGTTTGGAAGCCAAATGTTTGCTTCATTAGAGCAAAGAACAATGACAATTTAGCAGCAACAGAGAACACACTCCTGATTTAACGATGGGAAAGAGAAGAGAGAGTGTTAAAGTGTCCCAGTGGGGACATCAAAAGATTCCCAGATCTGAGTGTATCATATTGAGTGTGATTCCTCAACCATCACTCCATTTGGTAGCCAGGAAGAAAGCAAAGGTAGTTGTGATGGGAACTGGAGGGAACTCTTCTGCCTTCTGCCCCTCCTGCCAGGCCCCCTGGCGACTCTGGCTTCAGTGCTTCACTCCAGAGTGGAGGCGTGGCCAGGGCTGAATCGGATGTACACCCACAGTGTGTTTCTCTCTGGCTCAGAATACATTCATAAGGAAACTCAAATCAGGGAAGAAACTAAGTGTTCTGGTTATGGCTACCGCCATTAGATCCACCAGCAATGTGTCCCTCATTTCGTTCCAGATCTCTTGAGGCAGAAACTCCATCTCAGCAGCTAATTCCATCCTATTTTCTTTAGAAAAATTCTCCAAATTAGGTGGTTACACAACGAAATGTGTGTGAACATTCACTCCTGCCCTCCCCATATACATATATAGACATACAATAGAAACACACTGTATGGGTTGTCAAGACGATGTATGTTACTGAAATGCCTAACAGGTTACTTCTTATTTAAAAATAAAGTTTGACTAATTATTCTCCAAGTACAAATTAGGCCCTAGCAAACCTGTATAAATACAGTTAGAAAAGACGGCAACAAAAGTTTTAAATAGAGGCTATCTTAAGGGCTTTCTTGATGGATTTTGTTAATGTGTACATTATTTAAAACGGGCATATCATTACGGATTATAAAAATAGAAATGTATATATTTGTTAATACATACTCACAGCTTATGCTGGAATGGCTCACAGGAGAAATGGTTCATGGAGAAAATAAACATTACTCAAGTAAATATAAAGAAATAAGATTAGGTCCATAAAGGCTGAGAACTTATAGTCAGTAATCAGCCCATTTGGTTTCTCTTTGTAGGGCAATCAAAAACATGAAAGGAAGTGACACCTAAACACACATACACACACAATTACATGAATTACATGGAAAGAATATAAATTAACCAATAAAGCAATGTGGAGTTGAGGTGCAAAAAATATAATCTTCACTCATTCTCTCTACTGTACTTTCAAGCATTGCAACATGTTAAATGCTATGGGTGGCAATACCAACCAGAACAGGTCTGAATGCTTGTAAATTTTCTAAGTGTTGAAAACTAAAGCAAAATCCTTTGAGATCTATGATCACATATTTTGGTAGAAATTGCAAATTTACAGAGATGACTGAGCAGCAGGTAGTAAATGGAGCCAAGAAGTACAATCTTGCCTATTCATCCTCCATAAGAATCAGAATATTGGCTTCAATCACTGACTCATCATTTTATATGTTCTTCACCCTGAAAAATAAAGTTACCAATGTAAGAATGCTTTTTCTTTAAATAAATTTATTTATTTATTTATTTTGGGCTGCATTGGGTCTTCGTTGCTATGCGCGGGCTTTCTCTAGTTGCGGTGAGCGGGGCCTACTCTTCCTTGCAGTACGCAGGCTACTCATCGCAGTGGCTTCTCTTGTTGCGGAGCACGGGCTCCAGGTGCGCGGGCTTCAGTAGTGGCACGCAGGCTCAGCAGTTGTGGCGCACGGGCTTAGTTGCTCCGTGGCATGTGGGATCTTCCCGGACCAGGGCTCGAACCCGTGTCCCCTGCACTGGCAGGTGGATTCTTAACCACTGCACCACCAGGCACAGGGAAGTCTCAAGAATGCTTTTAAAGTCAATGAAGTTCGGTTAATCTGTTTTAAAATGCATGCTTTTTTTTTTTTAATTTAGTATCTACGGGAAGGCTATTTTCAAATACAGACTGAAAGAAAACTGAACTGTTTTGGCTTTTTTTCATTAACTGAATTTAGATTAAGGCAAATGTTACCTCATCTAATAAAAGCTATAAAAAGCCAATCCTTCCGTTTTATAAAAAGTTTTTTAAAAGATAAAAAGTTTGTAACATTTCCTTATAACTATTTTCAAGTGCTCCCAAAGCAATCACAATGATGAAGAAATCAACATATGGCATCTTCATTCTAAAACCTTAAGAGTCTCTCCAACAAATGGTGCTGAGACAACTGTATATTCACATGCAAAAGAATTAAGCTGAACTTCTATCTCTCACCATATAGAAAAATTAACTCAATAGATCAATGATCTAAATATAAGGCCTAAAACCATAAAACTCTTAGGAGACAACACAGGGCAAATCTTCATGACCTTCGATTTGGCAATGGATTGTTACCTATGGTACCCAAAGCATGAACAACAAAATTCACAATAGATAAAATGGTCTTCCTCAAAATTAAAGTCTTTTGTACACCAAAGGACACTATCAAGGAAGCGAAAAAAACTACAGAATGGGAGAAATATGTGTAATCATATATCTGATAGAGGTCTAGAATCCAGAATATATAAAGAACTCTTACAGTTCAGCAACATAATGAAAGACAACTCAATTAAAACACAGGCAAGGGACATAAAGAGACATTTTTTCAAAGAAGACATACAAATGGCCAACAAGCACATGAAAAGTTGCTCAATGTCATTAGTCATTAGGGAAATGTAAATCAAAACCACAACCAGATTCCACTTCACTAGGAAGGCTACAGTTTTCAAAAATGGAAAATAAGAAGTGTTGGCAAGACACAGAGAAATGGGAAACTTCATATACTATGGTGGTAATGTAAAATATTTCAGCCACTGTGGAAAACAATTTGTGGTTCTTCTAGAAGTTAAATATAGGGACTTCTGTGGTGGTCGAGTGGGTAAGACTCCACGCTCCCAATGCAGGGGGCCTGGGTTTGATCCCTGGTCAGGGAACTAGATCCCCCATACATGATGAAACTAAGAAGTCAGCATGCCGCAACTAAGACCCGGCACAGCCGAAATAAAAATAAATAAATAAATAAATATTTTAAAAAATAAATAAAAGTTAAACATAGAATTACCGTATGACCCGGCAATTCCACTTCTAGATATATACCCAAAACAACTGAAAACAGGTACTCAAATACATACTTGTACATGCATGTTTATAGTAGCACTGTTCGCAACAGCGAAAGGTAGAAACAAATATCCATCAGTGGGTAAATGGATAACAAATTGTGGTATACATATACAATGGAATATTATGCAGTCATAAAATGGAGTGAAGTACTGATACATGCTACAAGGTGGATGAACCTTGAAAACATTATGCTAGGTCAAAGAAGCCAGACACAGAAAGTCACACAGTGTGATTCCATTTATACGAAATATGCAGAGGAGGTAAATCCATAGAGACAGAATGCAGATTCATAGTTAACAGGGGCTGGAGGGAGGGGGTAACAGCGAGCAACCTGCTAATGCATTTGGAGTTTTCTTTTGGGGTGATAAAATGTTTTCTAACCAGACGGAGGTGGTAGTTGTACAACACTGTGAATGTACTAAATTCCTCTGAATTGTGACTTTAAAATGATTAATTTTATGTTATGTGAATTTCTCCTTAATTAAAACAAAATCCTTACCGGTGATGGGCTACTGTACTAGATAGAGCCTGAACTAGGTGAGGACAGGTTCTACTATTATAGCTGTGTGACCTTGGGCACCTTACCAAGCAGCACCTGTGCTATTTCTTCATCTATAAAATAAAAAGTACAATTATACTTCACACAATTACTGGAGGAAATAATTACGATAAACATAAGTGAAAGTACTTTGTAAATCAAAATCAAAGGTATTGTTATTATTAACAGTAACTAGGGAATTCCCTGGCAGTCCGGGGGTTAGGACTTGGTGCTTTCACTGCCGAGGGTGCAGGTTCAATCGCTGGTCGGGGACCTAAGATCCCGCAAGCCGTGCAGTGCGGCCAAAAAAATAACTAGACTGGTACACTCTCACTTATTGACTGAGTCTACTTTAAAATTTTCCCATGAATTTATCAGTTGCTCTTTATAGACCCCATGAATAACGCATTTCAATATTTAGAATCTAACACCAGTTCACTTGCTTATTAGTGTATTACAAATGACATCAACATTTTATTTTATTTGAAGACACAGCAAGGAAGGTGGTCAACAGAAAGCCTACTTTAAGTCACTCTTCTAAAGATAAACTCTCCCATGTACTGTACTCACAGGAGTTGCTGTTAGCGTCTGTCTTCCCAGCTTTCATGTGCCTGCTTGAGTTCTGCTGAGATTTGTTCTGCTCCTCTCCAGTGAGTAGGGCCTTTATTTCAGAAGGGATTTTCCCTTGGTCCATTGCCATGCACCACTGCTTGTACTGAAATATGTAAAATATATTTAAATAAAATTTTACTAGTCAGAGTTCAGCAACCACAGGTGGAAATCCTAGACATAAGAACTCCCATAACTAGAGATCAAATTGGCTGCTGGGAATCCCACCTTCTGTTGTATTCCTGTTTATAACCTAGGACATGGATGAGGCCTGCTATCTTCAGAAGAGGGTGAAAAACTACGGCTGAATCTTCTTGTGATGTGCTGGAATAGTGCTCAGATTAAAAAGGGCCCTCTGGCTAAAAGAATATCTCCCCATGGAGTGCCACTCATTAGAATTCATCTCTTTTTGCTGAGTGTCACATTATTATTTCTACTCCTAAAATAAATAATTTTGTAACTTCCTTTCTCTATTTCATAAATATTCACTAAACATCTACTTTCTACCAGAGTGTGTACTATGGACTTTGGGGGTATAAAAGATTAATCAGTCCAAAGATTATGTCCTCCAGTGGCTTACAGTGCAGAAGGTGAAAAATAATTTACAAGTCAAATTCAACGTATTAAAAAAAGTCTCCTGAATAGTGTACATTTGGACTCTCTTCATGACCCGACTTAATTTTCTTACCTTCTAAAAAGCTGGAGGTAGCCTGTCCCAGTTTTGTAATGATCATGTTAGCATTATCTCTCTCTTTTCCAACCTGTCACCTCCTCCCCTGAGCTCACAGTACTAATGGGGTTTCTATTCCCTTTTACCTATTCTCTTGTATATGTCTACAGCTACTACCTAAAGTCTGAATGCATGAATGAATAAAACCAGGCCAAATAGTATCATACTATGCATATTACTACATACTGTTATACTGCTTTTTCCACTTAGCAATATCTTGTAAGTGTCTTTCTACATCAGTAAATATACATGTGCACTGTGATTTTCATGGGCTGCAAAGTAGTCCAACACATGAATGTCGTATAATTTAACCAATCCCCTACTGCTGAACATTTTGGTTATTTTTGATTTTTTTTTTCCTGTCATAAACAATCCCTTAAAGAAATAGTCACTTTCCACTACCACAAGCAATGTATGAAAATGCTTATTTGCCTATGTGCTGGCTAACAGATGAATATGCTTTCCCATGTTCGTCAACTGGATAGCTAAAAACTGGTATCTTCATGTTTTAATATAGCTTAGGTTGATTGTTTCATGCGTTTATTGACAGACTTTCTTACCATTTCCAGTTCCTCTCTGAGGGCACAAATGGCTCTTTCCCGACTGGATACCAACTCTTCCAAATACTGATATCTCAGTTTTTTTCTGGCCCGGCATTCTCTTGCACTCTGCCGGCTCCTCTCAAGTTTTGCCTTCAAGTCAATTTTGGCTGGCTTTCGACCACGTTTGCCAGGCTTCTTCACTTTACCTCCAACCACCTTCCGCAAGAGAGAGAAACAGTTAATTTTTTTCCTAGTTCTGGGTCTAGGAAAGTGACTGCGGCTGCATATTAGCAAGGAAAACATTTACAAATAACAAATAAATGGGGCCTGTGGAACTAAGAAAGCATAATCCCATCAAGTGCTGTATGATACTTTGCTTCATAATTTCTTTTTCTGATACTTCTGATACCATGAATGTGAGAGAAGAAATAGTATAAGTTTTCATTATTTCTTCAATAATAAACTTGTTTTAATAATAAACTTTACAGAGCTCAACAGTAAACTTTATGAACCATATGTAGCTAGATAGTAAAAAACTGAAAGACTGCCATTAAATATTTTGTTCACATAGAATTTTTATTGACTTAAGTAATAAGTAAAAAAAAAATTGAAAATTGTAAGTTCAGTATGATCTCAATCTTATAAAACAACACATAGAAGAAAGGATCGTAAAAGGTCAGTGGCAGGGAGGAATCAAGATGGCGGTGTGGGAAGACGTGGAGTTAGCATCTCCCCACAACTAGGGCGCCTGACAGCCACTGGTGGGGGAACTCTGACCCCCAAGGAGACGGGAGGAACCTCAAAGTGAACCAGTAGGACGTAGGGGGACCGAAGTGGTAGGAGAAGTGGAGGCCAGACAGGATCAGTGCCCCTGAGGCCAGGGAGATCAGAAGAGGCAGGTGGGAGGGACTCTTCCAAGAAGACCAGGAGAGGAGTGGAGGGCCATCGCCTGGCCCACTCGGACCCAGGGAGCCTGCTGGGCTCCCAGGTGAGGCCCCGTGCCCTCTGAGACTGGGGTGGGGGGCACACCTGGGCCCCTTCTGTTCCTTGAGCCTAAGCTCCACCCCCAACAGCACCCAGGGCCTTTTCCAGCCCTGTGGGTCCTGAGCATTGGCCCCGCCCACTGCCCAAAACTCGCCCTTGTTTAGGCCCTGCCCTCCACAGCCAAGGCCGTCCCCCCCCTCCTTTTTTTTCCTTTCCCTCTGTTACTATTGTGGTACTGATATACCTTCCGGTTACTGACATACCTATATTTTTATTTTTACATTCTTTCTAACATATCTGTTAGTTTCTTTGTCTAATTTTATTTTTTACTTTATTATTTTTCTCCTTTTTTCTTTTCTTGCCACCCCACGTGGCTTGCTGGACCTTGATTCGTGAGCCCAGGATTTGGGGGAAGCTCCTGCGGTGGCAGCTCCGAGTCCAAACCACTAGACTAACAGAGAACCTCAGATCCCAGGGAATACTCACTGGAGTGAGGTCTCACAGAGTTCCTCATCTCAGCACCAAGACCCAGCTCTACCCAACAGCCTACAAGCGCCAGTGTTGGAAGCCTCAGGCCAAACAACCAGTAAGACAAGAACACAATCCCTCACATTAAAAAAAAAAAAATGAGATGGCACAAAAATATGTCACAGATGAAGGAGCAAGGTAAAAACCTACAAGACCAAATAAATGAAGAGGAAATAGGCAATATACCTGAAAAAAAATTCAGAGTAGCGATAGTAAAGATGATCCAGAATCTCGTAAATAGAATGGAAGCACAGATTGAGAAAATACAAGAAATGTTTAACAAAGATCTAGAAGAACTAAAGAACAAACACAGATGAACAACACAATAACTGAAATGAAAAATGCACTAGAAGGAATCAGTAACAGAATAACTGAGGCAGAAGAACGAATAAATGAGCTGGAAGACAAAATGGTAGAAATAACTGCTGAGGAGCAGAATAAAGAAAAAAGAATGAAAAGAATTGAAGACAATCTCAGAGACCTCTGGGATAACACTAAATGCACCAACATTCGAATTATAGGGGTTCCAGAAGAAGAAGAGAAAAAGAAAGGGTCTGAGAAAATATCTGAAGAGATTATAGTTGAAAACTTCCCTAACATGGGAAAGGAAATGGTCACCCAAGTCCAGGAAGTATCGAGAGTCCCATACAGGATAAACCCTAGGAAAAATACACCAAGACACAAATTAATTGCACTAACAAAAATTAAATTCAAAGAAAAAATATTAAAAGCTGCAAGGGAAAAACAAAAAATAACATACAAAGGAATCCCCATAAGGTTATCAGCTGATTTTTTAGTGGAAACTCTGCAGACCAGAAGGGAGTGGCAGGATATACTTAAAGTGATGAAAGAGAAAAATCTACAACCAAGATTACTCTACCCAACAAGGATCTCATTCAGATTCGATGGAGAAGTCAAAAGCTTTTCAGACAAGCAAAAGCTAAGAGAATTCAGCACCACCAAACCAGCTTTACAGCAAATGCTAAAGAAACTTCTCTAAGCAGGAAACAAAAGAGAAGAAAAAGACCCACAAAAACAAACCCAAAACAATTAAGTAAATGGTAATAGTAACATACATATCAATAATAACCTTGAATGTAAATGGATTAAATGCCCCAACCAAAAGACACAGACTGGCTGAATGGATACAAAAACAAGAACCATATATATGCTGTCTACAAGAGACTCACTTCAGACCTAGGGACACATACAGACTGAAAGTGAACGGCTGGAAAAAGATATTCCATGCAAATGGAAATCAAAAGAAAGCTGGAGTAGCAATACTCCTATCAGATAAAATAGACTTTAAAAAAGACTGTTACAAGAGATAAGGAGGGACACTATATAATGGTCAAAGGATCAATCCAAGAAGAAAATATAAAAATTATAAATGTTTATGCACTCAACACAGGAGCACCACAGTACATAAGGCAAATGCTAACAACAATGAAAGGAGAAACTGACAGTAACACAATAATAGGAGGGGACTTTAAAACCCCACTTACACCAATGGACAGATCATCCTAACAGAAAATAAATACGGAAACACAAGCTTTAAATGACACAACAGACCAGACAGATCTAATTGATACTAAATAACCAAGAGATCACTGAAGAAATTAAAAAATACATAGAAACAAATGACAATGAAAACACGACGACCCAAAACCTATGGGATGCAGCAAAAGCAGTTCTAAGAGGGACGTTGATAGCAATTCAATCTCACCTCAAGAAACAAGAAAAATCTCAAATAAACAATCTAACCCTACACTTAAAACAACCAGAGAAAGAAGAACAAAGAAAACCCAAAGTCAATAGAAGGAAAGAAATCATAAAGATCAGAGCAGAAATAAATGAAACAGAAATGAAGAAAACAATAGCAGAGATCAATAAAACTAAAAGCTGGTTCTTTGAGAAGATAAACAAAACTGATAAACCATTAGCCAGACTCATCAAGAAAAAAAAGGGAGAGGATGCAAATCAATAAAATTAGAAATGAAAAAGGAAGAATCACAACTAACACTGCAGAAATACAAAGGATTATAAGAGACTACTACAAACAACTATATGCCAATAAAATGGACAACCATGAAGAAATGGACAAATTCTTGGAAAGGTACAATTTTCCAAGAGTGAACCAGGAAGAATTAGAAAATATAAACAGACCTATCACAAGTAATGAAATTGAAACTGTAATTTAAAATCTTCCAACAAACAGAAGTCCAGGATCAGATGGCTTCACAGGCGAATTCTATCAAACATATAGAAAAGAGCTAACACCGATCCTTCTCAAACTCTTCCAAAAACTTGCAGAGGGAGAAACACGCCCAAATTCATTATATGAAGCCACCATCACCCTGATACCCAAACCACAAAAAGATACCACAAAAAAAGAAAATTATAGACCAATAAATATCACTGATGAACATATATGCAAAAATCCTGAACAAGATACTAGCAAACAGAATCCAACAGCACATTAAAAGGATCATACACCATGATCAAGTGGGATTTATCTCAGGGATGCCAGGATTCTTCCATATATGCAAATCAATCAATGTGATGCACCACATTAACAAATCAAGGAATAAAAACCATATGACCATCTCAGTAGATGCAGAAAAAGCTTTTGACAAAATTCAACACCCATTTATGATAAAAATCTCCAGAAAATGGGCATAGAGGGAACCTACCTCAACATAATAAAGGCCATATATGACAAACCCACAGCAAGCATCACACTCAATGGTGAAAAACTGAAAGCATTTCCACTAGGATCAGGAACAAGACAAGATGTCCACTCTCGCCACTCTTATTCAACATAGTTTTGGAAGTCCTAGACACAGCAATCAGAGAAGAAAAAGAAATAAAAGGAATACAAATTGGAAAAGAAGATGTAAAACTGTCACTATTTGCCGACGAGATGATACTATACATAGAAAATCCTAAAGATGCCACCAGAAAACTACTAGAACTCATCAATGAATTTGGTAAGGTTGCAGGATACAAAATTAATGCACAGAAATCGCTGGCATTCCTATACACCAGCAACAAAAATTCAGAAAGAGAAATTAAGGAAACACTCCCATTTACCACTGCAACAAAAAAAATAATATATCTAGGAATAAACCTGCTTAAGGAGGTGAAAGATTTGTACTCAGAAAGCTATAAAACACTGATGAAAGAAATCAAAGAGGACATAAACAGATGGAGAAATATACCATGTTCTTGGGCTGAAAGAATCAATATTATGAAAATTATTACACTACCCAAAGCAATCTACAGATTCAATGCAACCCCTATCAAACTACCCATGGCATTCTTCACAGAATTAGAACAAAAAATCTTACAATTCGTATGGAAACACAAAAGACCCCAAATAGCCAAAGCAATCTCGAGAAAGAAAAATGGAGTTGGAGGACTCTGTGACTTCAAACCATACTACAAACTACAGTAATCAAGACAGTATGGTACTGGCACAAAAACGGAAGTATAGATCAATGGTACAGGATAGAATACCCAGAGATAAACCCACGCACATATGGGTACCTAATTTACAACAAAGGAGGCAAGAACATACAATGGAGAAAAGACAGCCTCTTCAATAAGTGATGCTGGGAAAACTGGACAGTTACATGTAAAAGAATGAAATTAGAACACTCCCTAACACCATACACAAAAATAAACTCCAAATGGATTAAAGA